CAGGTGCTGCGTGGGGAGGCCGTGCCCCGGGCAGGTGCTGTGTGGGGAGGCCGTGCCCCGGGCAGGTGCTGCGTGGGGAGGCCGTGCCCCGGGCAGGTGCTGCGTGGGGAGGCCGTGCCCCGGGCAGGTGCTGTGTGGTGAGCGTGGGGAGGCAGTGCCCCGGGGAGGTGCTGCGTGGGGAGGCCGGGCCCCGGGCAGGTGCTGCGTGGGGAGGCCGTGCCCCGGGCAGGTGCTGCGTGGGGAGGCCGTGCCCCGGGCAGGTGCTGCGTGGGGAGGCCGTGCGCCGGGCAGGTGCTGAGTCGGTGCTGCGGGACGCCGGGGTCCGCAGTGGCAGTTCCTCGCATGGACTCTTCTCGGCCGCAGTCACGTTCACCTGAGAGCGTGCCTCCCGCCTACTTCCAGCCGTGTAACTGCGTGTCCCTCTCGGACCGCATCTGGTGTCCGTAGCTGTCTGGGGAGAAACTCCGGGCACGGTGAGGTGTGAGCCGCGCCAGCACTGCCTCGTGCGGCCTGCCTCAGTGGGGAAGTGGACCAGGGCCTTGAACGGAGCGGCACAGGCACCGGGGATCGACGCAGGGACAGGGGTGCTGCCAGGTGCCTGCCCCTCCTGTGCTGGGGTGAGCAGGGGCCTGTGCGAGGAGACTTGAGCAAAGACCGAAGGCAGAGGCCACCCAGCGGGGGTAGCCTTGGGTGCCCTGAGGCAGGAGCATGCTGAGGCTCCTGGGTAATGGGAGGCCAGGCACGTCGGTCTGCCCATGTGCAGGCAAGTGTCAGGGAAGATCCAACTGAAGTCCAGAGGGACCCGCCTGGCTGGGTGCAGAGGAGACGCTCCTGTGAGCACCCACAGGTGCCGGCCGGGTCCCGCCGTGCGGGTGACATCAGGGATGGGGCTGTGGGGTGCCCTGGGCCCCCTGAGGGCTTGCACGATGGCGCACGTGGCCATGGTGATAAATCAGCCCTAGCCGAGATGTGACCAAAAAGTTTGTTAGAAAGGGGAAACAAACTTATTTTCCCAAAATGATGAATTCCTTCCCAAAGGAAGGATCCAAGATCAGTGAGTTCAAAGCATATACAATTTGGAGACCTTTCTTTAAAAAACACAAAACATATTTTTTAGAATAAGAACAGGATCACAATAAGTCATCATTTTGAAGCTGATAAACGTGCACAGTTTAGAAAAGCAATGCTTGTTTTACTTACCTGCTGACACATCTGCTTGCACCTTCCCTCTCCTTATGTGGCCCCGTGTTTGCCCCTTCATCCGGTCATAACCGGCGCCATCATGTCCGCTCAGAGAAGAAACTCCAGGCCCGCGCTGGTGGTGAGGAATGCTGGCACGTTCTCAGAGCTTTGTCAGCTTTGAAAGGAGGTTGAGCAGAAGGAGAAGCTTCTTCTGTGGTTATGATTTAGCATCTTATACCAACCAGATAAGCCCTAACCATGTGGCCACATTGCTGGGCCTGCTTGGCTGGGGCCAGGGGCAGGCTGTGGTCGGCAGGCCCAGCCCTCCTGGCAGGAGTCCCATGCCATGTGCCCAGGGCAGCCCCGGGCCGAGCACGGTGCTGCTCCCGGTGCGTGGCCATCTCCTCCAGGCCAGGTGCTGCGCTCTTGGTTTCCTTCCGTAAAATGTTACCATGAAAATGCTCCCAAACTTCATGTCCTGCAAGAGAAAGGAAAGGAGTTGTCGTTTTCTTTGCGTTTAGTACCAAGTAAATATGTTATCGTTTGGAGCTGACGAATCCGAGCCAAGCCCCGGGTGTGACTGCAGGTGCGGTTTTGGGAATGCCTGTGAGTGCCAGGCAGCACTGGCATGGGGTCGGGAGGGGGAGGGGTGGGAGGCGGGGTCACAGGAGATGTGGGTTCCTGGTTGGGGCAGATGGCAGAATGGGGAGCAGGTGCCGCCACACAGAGGCTCCTGGGCCACACCGGTGGGCCAGGCACACCTGGGAGACCTGCCAGGCCTTGAGAAGGACTCTGATCTCATGAATGGCCCCGGAGTGGGGCAGTGCAGGGCAGCGGCCCTAAGGGTTCTGCCAGGAGAGGCGGCTGAGAGGCAAGTCTCAGATCGGGCACCGAAGTCTGGAGAAAAGAGAGTGCTGCCCAGGCAGCAGCTGAGAGTGTTTGCAGGACAGGGATGTGAGAAACGGAGGCAGAGAGGAGCCCAGGGGAGTCTGAGCCCCATGACCCGAGAGGCCTGTGTTTCGGCAAGTGCCAGGAGGCCAGGCGCCGTGGCCTGCGACTCACTGCCCCCATCCCCCTCCCCCTCGGTGGTGCGGTCTCAGCACGGTGCAGGCCTGTGGTCGCTGCACTCGATGGGTGAGACCCAGAGACACACTGCCTTCCCATCTTCCCACGGCAGCTCTCTAGTGTGCTGGTCAGAGCATCCCCGGGGCCCCTGGTCCCGCACGCGGAGGCCTCCATGCAGGGCCAGGGACAGGTGTGGTTTGCCCTGCAGAGGCACCCGTGGTCGCGTCCCCCAGGGACAGCTGACGGGTCTGCGTGGCCGGCTCTTACACGCCCTGCGTCTGAAATCCAGGGGCCTGACCTTTCTGTCTGTACTCTCCGAGAAGTCAGCACTTCAGTCTTTGAGCCGCGTCTTCTGTGTTAGCTCCCGTGACTTTCTCTCCCTCCTTCCTTCCGCCCCGCATCCTTGCCAATCTCTGTCCAGACACACACACACACACACACACACACACACACCCTGTGGGAGTGTGCAAGACGCACAGAGATCCGGTGAGTGCACTCTTCTGTACACACCTGGGCTACAGGTGTCATGGGTACAGAGCCCCAGGGCCAGGGCTCTCTGAGGAAAAGGCTTGTGAACACCAGGATCAGAGGAGTGCAAATCAGAGCCTTTGTCCAGGATGACCTGGCTCAGGGACACCCGAGGGCATCCCTGTCCCCCTCGACTATTAGGACAATTCCTTCCCCAGCGTCCTCCCTCCCTCCCCACAGGCGGACTGGATTGAGGCGGACACCTCCCTTTGGAATGGATACATATTGGGAACATTTTTCAGTGCAAGTGTAGCTCAGTGAAAGGTAGCCACAAAGAAATATTCCCAGAGCAGCACACATCTCAGGGACGGTTAGCGGATTATAAGAACAGATACGTGTACTAGTATTCCCTACGAGCAAGGAAACACGTACATGAGGATAAAGGGTGAGGATTGAGAGCTGTGCCTCCAGTTGTGTTCCACAGATGCATACAGAATCCCAACATGATGTGAGCAGTGGCTCTCAACCCTCTGTGTGTGTGGGAACCCCTGGAGAGGCTTAAAGGCATAGATTACTGGGTCTGGATTTTAACTCACTAGCTTTGGATTATGGCTTGAGAATTTGCACCATGCCTGTAGCGGAAGCAGTCAGCATTGGGTTGCCACGGCAACCCACCACTGACTTCTGGTATGGTCAAGCTTGGGTCATAATGGTGTTACATCCGGGCTCTTTATTATAGACATGTTAGACCTCAATTCATCCTCTACATTTTTTCCCTTATTTTCTATTGCCTTACTGTGTACTACATTTTGGCAATATCTCTAGTTTTGTCTTCCAGTTCACTAACTTTTGCTTGATCTGTGTCTAATCTAGTGTTACACTCATTTACTGAAATTTTCCTACCAATTGCATTTTGTAAAAATTTCTGCAGGAAGAAGACTGAAGGCCTCTGGACATGAGCCCGGAGTGGTGCCCTGGGCGGGGTGAGCAGGACCTGCTGCGACGTGGTGCTCCTGCCTGACTCTACCTGCTGGCCCAGTGCTGACCCGTGCTGGCCCGGTGCTAGCCTGGTGCTGGCCCGTGCTGGCCCGCGCTGGCCCGTGCTGACCCGGTGCTGGCCCATGATGGCCCGGTGCTGGTCTGTGCTGGCCCGTGCTGGCCCGGTGCTGGCCCATGATGGCCCGGTGCTGGTCTGTGCTGGCCCGGTGCTGGCCCGGTGCTGGCCTGTGCTGCTCGGTGCTGGCCTGTGCTGACTTGGTGCTGGCCCTGTGCTGACTGGTGTTGGCCTGGTGCTAGCCTGGTGTTGGCCCGGTGCTGGCCTGTGTTGGCCCAGTGCTGGCCTGATGCTGGCCCAGTGCTGGCCCGGTGCTGGTCTGTGCTGGCCTATGCTGGCCCGGTGCTGGCCTGTGCTGCTCGGTGCTGGCCATGCTGGCCTGGTGCTGGCCTGGTGCTGGCTCACAGAGGCGCACAGAGGGGCCCAGGCCCCTGGGCCACATTTCACTGTGAAGCAGGACGAAGAGCTGTGCGAGGAGGAGTGATGCTCTGCTTGTGGGCCAGCGGCTGGCTGCTGGGAGGCATCCCTTCCTTGAGGCTCCGCAGGGCCCAGGGCCCAGGACGGTCTCACCCGAGCGCCAGCAGCATGGCCTGTGCCGGGCCCAGGACACAGCATGACCACAGCCCGGAGCATCTGTGAGGACCAGGCCCGGCCATGGCTGTGCAGCCTGAGTGGCAGCTGGCAGGAAGCGAGGGCGCAGAAAGGAAACCCACAGGCCCGGCAGCTGGAGGTGGCGCAGACCAGAGGCTGGTGACATTAACGGCCAGCAGTGGAGAGGTGCCTGCTGTGGGCAGGTCCTGGCTGTTTTATCTAAAAGATGGGAACTCGGAAGCTGCAGCAGCTCCACGGCCCACTCCTCAGGAGAGTGCACTGTGCCCACACCCGCCGCGTTTGCCACACAGGCACCGGAGAAGGGGTGGCTTGGCAGCTGGTGCAGGTGGAGGGATGCACCAGGCTAGCACCAAGCCAGCACCAGGCCAGGACCAGGCCAGGACCAGGCCAGCACCAGGCCAGCACCGAGCCAGCACCGGGCCAGCACCGGACCAGCACCAGGCCAGCACCGAACAGCACAGGCCAGGACAAGGCCAGCACCAGGCCAGGACCGGGCTACCACCAGACCAGCACCAGGCCAGCACCAAGCAGCACAGGCCAGAACAAGGCCAGCACCAGGCCAGCACGGGCCAGCACCAGGCCAGCACCAGGCCAGCACGGGCTAGCACCGGGCCAGCACCAGGCCAGCATGGGCTAGTAGTGGGCCTGCACCAGACCAGCACGGGCCAGCATGCAGTCAGGGCAGGAGCACCACGTCGCAGCAGGTCCTCTCACACCCCGCCCAGGGTACCACTCCGGGCTCGTGTCCAGAGACCTTCAGTCTTCTTCCTGTTTCACTTTTTATTTTCATTTTGCACCTGAGACCAGCACCCCTGGACTGCGGGGAGCTGGGAGCATGTGGCGCCAGGAGCCGCGCTGTGCCGGCTGTGCTGGTCCTGCTGCTCGGCTCCGTGCGAGTCCGAGTGAGCGCCCACGGTGTTTCTCCCGCTGCCGTCGGGGACAGTGGGCTCCTGGTGACAGCAGGCGCTTGTGGGGTACAGAGGGCAGACCCGGCAGGGCTGCTGGTTCAGGATGATCTCACGAAAAAGTTTCCGTTTCCCGAAATGGCTAATTCACACGCCCCCCAGCAGGACACCGCGGAGCTGGCAGCCCATCCTCAGCAGCACTGAGTGCGATGGAGCCTGTGGGCACCAGCCTGTGGGAACAGGGTGCTGGGCCGTTTCCTCATTGTGGACCGCATTAGCATTCCCAGAGCTCTGTCCTGGGCAGCCTGTGGTCCTGTCTCAGTTTGAGGGGGAGTCCATCAAGGCACAAGGCCAGATGGGGGTGGGACATAGCCTGGAGACCGGAGCTCAGAGCCCGTGCACTGTTCCAGAGGTCAAAGGCCAGGGATGATGGGAGTGACCCGTGGGCTCCCGCTGCTGTCACACTGTGCACAGGTGTCCTCAGTGCTTACTGGTAGTCTCAGCATTGATGCAGTTCCTTACACTGCCCAGCCCTCCTATGTAATAAACAGAAACAGCTGGTCCTGTGCGCCTCGTGCGAAGCAGGCTCGGGTCTCCCCATGTAACAGCCTGTTTGTCTCTTCTATGTGGTTGGTTCCTAGTTTGGCAGCAATCGGTGGCCTCCATGGGCCACGTGGCTGGGAAGCGGAGCTCCACTCAGGGTCCTGGGCCGGCGAGGGGGCGGGCAGGGCTGTCCCTCTACCTGCACCAGCCACCGAGCCGCAGGGCGGCGGAGCCCGTCCATCACCACAGCCAGCAGGACCGGAGAGCTTGTTTTTAACCAGGTTCCACCCCACACCCCACAGCTCGCCTCTCAAGTCTTGGGTTAGCTTTTGAGAAGAATCTATAGGAGCAAGGACGGGAAAGTATGGCCACGTCTGTTTCCAGCGCCTGCCTCATGGGATGACCGCTCACAACTGGGAGGAGGCATCACAAATGTCCCCAAATATACAAGGCTCAGCAGGCGGGCCATGGGAGCTCTCCCAGGATGCAGTGCGCTTGGGCCCTGAGCGTTTGGGGCCTCAGTCCCCTCGTCGTAGGAAACGCCAGGACTGCACAGCTGTCCAGCATGTCTGGACTCACCCCTCTCCGCTCTCATGACCCAACAGGCTCCGGCTGCTGGAAGGGGAGAATGGGCTGAGAGCGTGGTGGCTGAGCAGGTCCTGCCCATCCCGTCCCTCTGTAGCCCCACCTGCCTTCCAGGGGCCCGCCCGCTACGGGCAGAAGCCCCTTCTCGTGCACTGGATGAGGGAAGGGGTCACCCAGTGACCCCACCAGGATGCAGAAGCAAAGCAGGGCAGTCCCTGATTGTGCCGGTCACTCCCGCCCACAGCGGGTGACCTTCCCTTCTCCCTGGATTCCCCTCCCTGCGTCCTGTGCAACAACCAGGAAGTCCCTCCTGCAGAAGGGAGAGCGTGAGCCACTTGGGGTTTGTCCCCAAGTTCCCATCAGCCTGTGTGGAGCTGGTGGGAGAGGAGGTGGTGGAAGGCTGACAGCCCGCCCACCTCGGGCCTGTGGGTCGCAGTGCTGGCGCCTGAACAGCTCTTCTGATGCCCAGCCAGGTCCAGCCAGGCCCTGGGACGTCTTCGTCTGGAGCTCGTGGTGTCAGGAAGCTGTGTGTGGGCCTTCTGGGCACGGTGGGCAAAGCCCTGAGCCTGAGGGGGGCGCTGTGTCCGGCAGCCGGCCCGAGGCACTTTCGCCACCGGGGGTGGGTCAGGTCAGGAGTGACCGGCTCTTCCTGTCTTCCAGGATCAGGGCCCGGGACAACAACGGGTCCTACGCCCTGTGCCTGCTGCACGAGGGCAGGGTGCTGCACTACCGCATCGACAAGGACAAGACAGGGAAGCTCTCCATCCCCGACGGGAAGAAGTTTGACACGCTCTGGCAGGTACCCCTCCGTCCGGGCGGTGAGGGAACCGCCCGAGCCTGCGAGGAAGCCCCCGGGCCCCGCCCGAGTCCTGCCGCCAGGGCGGCTCCCAGCTCCGGGCCGCGCACCAGCACACACGTTGGGGAGCGCTGGTCCAGCGTCCTCAGGGGGTTCAGGGGGCTCCTCCAGGCCCCGCCAGGCCTGGGAACTCCGGGCGCCGCTCCGGGCTGTGTGCGTGCAGCCGGGAGGCCCTGGGGCGAGAAAACTGCCGTGAAGACAGATACACACAAACCCAGCGTGCGTGGCGGGAGGAGGTGCAGGTGCCCTGGGAGAGGCGGAGTGAATGTAAGATGTCAGTGCCGTTCCTGCTTCAAAGTGAGCCTCCCCTGAAGCGAAGCGCCCGGACAGTGAGCAGCATCCCTGTGCCGGCCCCGCCGAGCTGTCCGCCCTCACGGCCGAGTTCGTCCTGGCCGCTGCCGGCACCCTAAGCACGGATGCGGGGCTGCTCAGGCCAGTGAGCACGGACCGGCTCGCCGCTGTGTTCCGGACTGCCGCGGGCATCCCTAGCTGGCCTTCATTGTAAGTCACAGCCGTGGAGGAGATGGCGGCACTGCACGTGTGGTTTCAGCAGAGCGTGCGGGGCAGAGGCCGGGAGCCAGGCTCTGCCGCCCGGAGCAGCTGCGTGCGCTCCTGTGGGTGAGGGGCGTGAGCAAACAGCCGCGCCCAGGCCTGACCAGGAGCCTCCTGTGGGAACAGCAGCCAAAGGTCCCAACTCAGAACCCTGCCTCTACATCCTGAGACCCGGACCTCCTGACCTCGCGCACTTACAGGAACGCCACCTCTGGCGTGGGGCCCAATGCTGGATTAGAAAAAGAAACGCTTCTTTTCCAAATGCTGGGCGTTACACTATCCATGTCATTTATGGCACTGACCTTGTCTTTTGGTTTGTAGCTCACTAGAATATGGCTCATTATTGACCATTTTAAGGTATATTTTATTTCATGCTTTATTTTCATGGTATCACTTAGAAAAAGCATTTAGCCTATCAAGTAGTCCACTGCACATTAAAGAGATGAGTGGAGTTCTGCCTAATTTTAATTTTAATTTCCCACCAGAGTGTCTTGATTCCACTCAATGCCGGGCATGGTGCTTTCCCCTCAGTTTCAGAGTCTGTCGCTGCCACAGTGCTGAGCAGCTCGCTTGTTGGGAAGTCCCTTCCTGAGACGCTGTCCCATGTTTATGGATTTCTCTGCATAGAATAGTATTCAGCCCTAATTAATCCCTTCCATTGTCTATTGTCTAGCTACCGTGTTTAAGAAAGAAACTCAAAATGCTAGCCCTGCCTTCATTTTTTATAGGTGTGATTCCCTGGGTTTTCTCCACAGCAATGTAAGGTGCCTCTGCGCCAGCCCACCAGGTGGCCGCGCTGTTTCTGTGGGTGATTCCCGCACCAGTATTCCTGCTGCAGCTCAGGGTCTGGCTTGGTGCAGTCCCTGATGCAAGTGGCTACTGCACTTTAGAGGATTGTTTTAAGTTGTGACCAAGGTGGCATGTGGCCTGAAAAACAACAGCAACAGGAATTTCACTATCTCGCCCTTCACGAGAAGCGTTTGCAGACCCCTGCCCAAGGGGAAGTCCCCACGGGTCCACCCACCCGGCCTCCCGTGCAGAATAGATTGTCTGAAAACACAGGGACGCTGGAGAGATGGCGGATGTCTTCCTTGTTTAGGGACCTCCTCACTCTTGGCCTGAGAACACAGCACTGCACTAAACAGACAGGGGGCGCTCTGGCGTCCTCCCAGCAGCAGGTGAGGGCTGATCAGATTGAAGCGTGCATTAGGAGGGCAGATTTCATGTGTGTTCTTACCACAATAGTTAACAATTTGAAAAAGAATGTTACCTGGAAGGATAAAATATATTCACTCAACAAACATCCACACAAGTAGGTAAGTTTGAGGACTGGAAAGGCCCAACAAACAGACAGGGAAGGGGTATCAGATATGAATATTTTAGGTTGTCTGAAGAGGAAAATGTCTGTTACGAGAAAAGAAAAGGTGAAATATAAGGAAGGACTGTCTTTTTCTTTAAGATTTTTTATTGATTTTTAGAGAGAGAGAAACATTGAGGTGAGAGCGGAACATCGATCTGTACCCTGCACACCGCCTTCCCCTCCACCCCTTGAATCAATCCCACAACCCAGGCCTGTGCCCTGACCTGGAATCAAACCACCAATCTTCCGGTCCACGGGATGATACTTAACCCACTGAGCCACACACGCCAGGGCTCAGGGCTGTCTGACTGCGTAGTTTTGATAAGATAAAAGTAAATCCCCTTGCATGGGTTTATTTTTAATGTAGAAATTAGACATCACAATCATAGTTCCTGGGAACCATTAGCCAAAGATGCCCAGGTCCTGTGAATAGAGTTTTTTTTCCAAAGACTGCCTTCCTACCACCTGTGCTGTGGTGGCTTCTCTGAAACTTCTGGGCGGAAGGACTGGCCCACAGCACTGTTAGCAGCAGTCCCCACCATTCCCCTCTCCCCGAGAAAGGAGGCGCCAGGAAAGGGCAGGAAATGGTGTCCGCTCACCACCGGCCACCCGTCCTCTCAGGGCCCAGAGAAGCCCACTGGCCAAGGGCTGGCCGCTGAGCTTCTGTTCATTACATCACCAGGTGCAGAGCATGTGAGCAGCTCCTGGTATGCGACTGGCTCCCAGAGAGAGAGAGGAGAGAGGGGGGGGGGAGAGAGAGAGGAGAGAGGAAGGAAGAGAGGGAGAGAGGGAGAGAAGGAGAGAGAGAGGAGAGAGAGAGAGAGGAAGAGGGAGAGAGATGCCGGGGGGAGGGGTGGACGTCTGTTGTCCTGGTCTGAGGGTGGGAGGAGAGAGACGGGGGTCAGGTGGACTCCCCCAGGAAGTGAAGGGTTGTCTTTGGTCACTTTGAGGTCTGAGAGGGGAGCTAGCTGCTCTAGGTGCGAAGCCCTTTCCTGCCACCTCACCGCCCTTTCTCACCGCTTCTCTTCCAGCTGGTGGAACATTACTCTTATAAACCAGATGGTTTGCTCCGAGTCCTCACAGTTCCATGCCAAAAAATCGGCGGGCAAGGGGGTGAGTGACGGAGACATTGGGGTTTCCATCTTGTAGATGGTAATGGCAATGCCCCAATCACCAGTCGCATTTCCGAGTCCCCCGCTACCAAGTCAGGGGGACGAGGCTTCATTTTGATAGAGCAATTGGTTAAAATGGCAGATTGCTCCCACTTTCATATATCATTGATTTAAAAATAGCGAATACCTTTAACTTTAAAAACTAGTGCTGATGGCGGGGTGAGATGTGGAGTGGAGATGGTGAGGAGGATGCGTGCAGACGCCATGCTCCCCACACCGCGCTTTGCGGCCACGCTGATCTGGGGGGGGGGGGGGGGGGGTCCCGGCGCTGTGGGCGGGCGGTAACCACCCCTTCCTCCCCAGGACACGTGAATTTCGGAGGCCGCCCCCAGCCGCCCAGTGCCAGCCCTGCGGTAAGTGTTTCTGGGAGAACCCGCGGGAAGCAGGCAGGGAGGCCAGGCACGGGACTCACAGGAGCCCAGAGTCATGGTTGCCATGGCGCCTGCTGAATGCACTGCAGGTGTCCGCTAGGCCAGCCCAGGCCCGCCAGCCACGTCACCGTTTGGGGGTTAAATTCTCTCCGTTTCCTAAAGCTAACAGAAGGGCCAGGAAACCCGGTGATAAATCAGAAACATGCCCCCGGCAGGTTTGGGAAAGGGGACATGTACAGGCTCAGTCTGAGCCGCCCATGGGCCCGCGGCACCACCCGCACGGCCCCACGTGGTGGGGGAGCACCGGGTACAGGACGCCTCCGGGGTGGTGGCCGGTCCGCCGGGGTCAGTCAGCGGACAGTGTGGGGGAGACGGGCCCTGCCTCGAGGCTGCTGCCCAGACCCCCGGAGGATGGCCAGTAAGGAGCCTCAGGGAACAGGGACGCCACCCCTGGACCAGAACCCACCTCCCTCCATGCCAGGAGGAGGTGAGGAGGTGGCCTGTCCACGCTTCTCACGGGTTTGCCCGAAATGTGCCGGACGCCCCCACAGAGAGCGAACTCCAGAGTGCTAGGAGCCGACACCCCATTTCTCACTGACTGCGGCTGGCTCAGCTCCCTTCGGGGGCCTCACGTCACCGGGGAGTGTAAACATCGCACCCCCTGGTTTCTGCCCCCTTACAAGCCCGCAGCGAGCGGCGTGCGCTCCCCGCCGGAGCTCCGGCAGTGCTGGCCGCCGGGGGCCCGGGGCTTCGTGGGGTGTCAGAGAGCTTCAGGGGCAGCGTCTGAGGTACAGCACCTCTGAGGGTCCTTGTATGCTGCCTTCTCGGCGGCTCCTGGCCACGTGTGCTCCGTGAGGCGGTCCCTCCCTCCAGGGTGGATGGCGCTGGAGCTCAGAGCCCACGCCCGATGTTACCGTGGTCACCAATGGCTTCAGGAAGCCCGGTGCTCGGGAATGGCTGCTCACTGACTGGTGCTCCGTGCTCGGAAGAAGGTGCTCACCCGTGCTCCCGCCGCGACCTCCCACCCCGGCCGCCAGGAGGAGCAGGGGGCTGGCCGGGTGCCTCGCCCTCTGGGTGACTGGCCTGCAGCCGCAGCTCCACGGCTCCCTGAAGCACAGGCGGTTTCATGAACGGCCCCGATTGCATAGCCTTTTGTGGGACCGACCCCCACGCGATGCCCAGGTCCTTGGCTCTGCGCCCAGCTCCCCTCAGAATTCCTCACGGTCAGGAGCGGGTGGCGGCACCAGCCGGAGGCTCTGGCGTGGTTTGGGAGCAAGTTAAAGCAGCGTGTCATGTACCGTCCGCTGTCTTGTTTTCTCACCCTTGACTCCCTCCTCGCTGCTACGGTTTCTAGGCTTGGACAGCCGGTGGAATCATCTCGAGGATCAAATCCTACTCTTTTCCCAAGCCCGGCCACAGGAAGGTACTCACTGTCCCCGCCCGCTGCTGTGTGTGCTGCTTGCCGCTCTGTGCCCGTCCTGCTGCTCTGCCCGCGTCTCTGCTTCATGGGCAGCCCGCTGGGCGCGCACTGAGCTCGCCACGCAGGTCCTGGCACGTTGCTGCGAAGCCCTCGCTGTGCACGCTGCCTCTGCCAACGTGTGCCCACAGCCACCCGGCCAGCGTGACGGGTGGAGCGGGTTCTCAGCTGGAAAGTCTTTGCCGAGTGAGCCGGTCCGTCAGCTGCAGGGAGCCCCCGCTGCGCGCTCTGGTGGCACAAGCGCATGCAGACAGCAGGGGCCGGGCTGGCGAGTGCTGCCCAGCGAGGGCCTCTCTGCGTGCGGCACAGACACCAGGCTCCTTGGCTCAGGCGGCACAGCCCCACCGCGGAGCTGTGAGTGTGACACGGTAACGGTGAGGAGCTGTGAGTGTGACACGGTAACGGTGAGGAGCTGTGAGTGTGACACGGTAACGGTGAGGAGCTGTGAGTATGACACGGTAACAGTGAGGAGCTGTATGACACGGTAACGGTGAGGAGCTGTGAGTGTGACACGGTAACGGTGAGGAGCTGTATGACACGGTAACGGTGAGGAGCTGTGAGTGTGACACGGTAACGGTGAGGAGCTGTATGACACGGTAACGGTGAGGAGCTGTATGACACGGTAACGGTGAGGAGCTGTGCGTGTGACACGGTAACGGTGAGGAGCTGTATGACACGGTAACGGTGAGGAGCTGTATGACACGGTAACGGTGAGGAGCTGTGAGTGTGACACGGTAACGGTGAGGAGCTGTGCGTGTGACACGGTAACGGTGAGGAGCTGTATGACACGGTAACGGTGAGGAGCTGTATTACACGGTAACAGTGAGGAGCTGTGAGTGTGACACGGTAACGGTGAAGAGCTGTGAGTGTGACACGGTAACGGTGAGGAGCTGTGAGTATGACACGGTAACGGTGAGGAGCTGTATTACACGGTAACAGTGAGGAGCTGTGAGTGTGACACGGTAACGGTGAAGAGCTGTGAGTGTGACACGGTAACGGTGAGGAGCTGTGAGTATGACACGGTAACGGTGAGGAGCTGTATTACACGGTAACGGTGAGAAGCTGTGAGTGTGATACGGTAACGGTGAGGAGCTGTATGACACGGTAACGGTGAGGAGCTGTGAGTATGACACGGTAACGGTGAGGAGCTGTATGACACGGTAACAGTGAGGAGCTGTATGACACGGTAACGGTGAGGAGCTGTATTACACGGTAACGGTGAGAAGCTGTGAGTGTGATACGGTAACGGTGAGGAGCTGTATGACACGGTAACGGTGAGGAGCTGTGAGTGTGACACGGTAACGGTGAGGAGCTGTATGACACGGTAACGGTGAGGAGCTTTATTACACGGTAATGGTGAGGAGCTGTGAGTGTGACACGGTAACGGTGAGGAGTTGTGAGTGTGACACGGTAACGGTGAGGAGCTGTGAATGTGACACGGTAACGGTGAGGAGCTGTGAGTGTGACACGGTAACGGTGAGGAGCTGTATTACACGGTAACAGTGAGGAGCTGTGAATGTGACACGGTAACGGTGAGGAGCTGTATGACACAGTAACAGTGAGGAGCTGTATTACACGGTAACAGTGAGGAGCTGTGAGTGTGACACGGTAACGGTGAGGAGCTGTATGACACGGTAACAGTGAGGAGCTGTATGACACGGTAATGGTGAGGAGCTGTATGACACGGTAACAGTGAGGAGCTGTATGACACGGTAATGGTGAGGAGCTGTATGACACAATAATGGTGAGGAGCTGTGTGACACGGTAACGGTGAGGAGCTGTATGACACAGTAACAGTGAGGAGCTGTATTACACGGTAACAGTGAGGAGCTGTGAGTGTGACACGGTAACGGTGAGGAGCTTTATTACACGGTAACGGTGAGGAGCTGTGAGTGTGACACGGTAACGGTGAGGAGCTGTGAGTGTGACACGGTAATGATGAGGAGCTGTATTACACGGTAACGGTGAGGAGCTGTATGACACAGTAAGGATGAGGAGCTGTGAGTGTGATATGGTAACAGTGAGGAGTTGTGAGTGTGACACGGTAATGGTGAGGAGCTGTGAGTATGACACGGTAATGGTGAGGAGCTGTGAGTGTGATACGGTAACGGTGAGGAGCTGTGAGTATGACACGGTAACGGTGAGGAGCTGTGAATGTGACACGGTAACGGTGAGGAGCTGTATGACACGGTAACAGTGAGGAGCTGTATGACACAGTAAGGATGAGGAGCTGTGAGTGTGATATGGTAACAGTGAGGAGCTGTGAGTGTGACACGGTAATGGTGAGGAGCTGTGAGGGTGACACGGTAACGGTGAGGAGCTGTGAGTATGACACGGTAACGGTGAGGAGCTGTGAGGGTGACACGGTAACGGTGAGGAGCTGTGAGTATGACACGGTAACAGTGAGGAGCTGTATGACACGGTAACGGTGAGGAGCTGTGAGTGTGACACGGTAACGGTGAGGAGCTGTGAGTGTGACACGGTAATGGTGAGGAGCTGTGAGTGTGACACGGTAACGGTGAGGAGCTGTGCGTGTGACACGGTAATGGTGAGGGGTTAATGATGAGGAGGGTGACAATGAGGAGACACTGAAGGGCTAGGAACACCAGTTTTGTCTGAGGCAGTAAGATTGCCATATATTTTTATATTTTTATATTTTGCTATATGATTGAATGAGGAAAATAAAAAGTTCTTTTTTAATGACTTTTATTTATAATGAATCACCTCCCTCAAAACCCATATATCATGTGTATGGATTTCTTTTTTCCCTTTTCCTATTTTTACCATTGGTGGTGTAAAAGTGATTCTTTCACTAATAATTCTTCCATTTAGTTGGTATGTTTCCAAACATTTCAGCATGCCCTTGGGCACCCACTCATGAAGCAGATTGCCTAAAGTGCTAAGGGAAACAGGTAAAAAGCACAAACGCGCTGAGACTGCAGCTGGTGAAAGTGTCCCACGCGGCAGGCGTGCGCAGTGCCTCCTCGGCTGGCTGACCGCGGGAGGCAGGCCCTGCGGCGCGGGCGGTGGTGCTGAGGGGAAGTGACGTGACACACCTGAGCAGAATAACTGTGCTGGCATGTCCCGGGCAGTGCAGGTCAGTGTGGAAATGCCAGCTTTGATGGCATCGCCCTCGGGGTGCCAGGGAGCTAGGACAGGCCTCAGGAGCACACCCTATCGCAGTTCCCTTTACCCCACCATCAAGGATCCGCTTCCAGGTCAGGCCCAGGAGTGACTGAGCTCTGGCCTCGGAGAGGTCGGCGTTCCGCGATCCCAGGCTGTACTCCACAGCTGCGCCTGCCGGCCCGCCCGGCCCTGGGAGAGGCTCCCCTTGGTGCCAGGATGGTACCCGTCAGCCGAGGTGACGCCAGTGTGTTCTGACTTAGGGTGCTTTTCAGTGGTGAATCATCCTTTCCACGTTATGATTATAAATTCCGCTCTAATCACTGGCTTCCCACCATGGCTTCATCAGATGCAGCTTCGACTGATGGCTCGGGCAAGACATGCCTCGTGCCAGCGTCCTGTCCACAGATCCGGAAGCCCTGCCGCCCAAGGCCCCTCCACTCACAGGGTCTCCCTGGCAGCCCTGCAGGAGCCCCTGGCCAGCTGGTCCCCTCCAGCTCCCACCTCATTCATTCAGCACTCCCTTCATAACGGCCCAGCCCGGAGCCCAGAGCCCGGAGCCCGGAGCCCGGAGCCCGGAGCCAGGAGGGGGCACGCTCCCTGCCGCCCCGCAAACCACACTCCATGCTCACCCCGTCCCGTGGTTTCCAGGCGTATCTGCCTGAGTTTAGCTGAGGTGAGTGACCATGCGAAGACTTATATGTGACAGACACACCCACACACACACACACACACACACAGGTACCTCCATCATCATGCATGCACATGCATAGTGTCTGCACACATGTATATGCATATGTACCCCCACACATGCGATCTAACTCAGGCCGTGCTTTACACAGTTGCAGGGGCTGGACCAGCAGGCCGCCGGGCAGGACAGGGTTAGCACAATACGCTGTCACTACGGTCAGGAGTCAGTCATGTTCTCACCCACCTTTTCTCTTTAGGGAAAGTCTCAGCTGTCACTATGGTCAGGAGTCAGTCATGTTCTCACCCACCTTTTCTCTTTAGGGAAAGTCTCAGCTCTCTTATCAGGCCCCTGGACTGGTTGATCCAGGCCACCCAGGATGATCTCTCCCGTTTAATAAGCTAATTAGGGGTGTTATTTACATCTGCAAAACGGCTCCCGGGAGACTCAGCCGGGCTGACAACCAGAAAACAGACCACAGCAGCCCGCTCGCGAGGGGACAAGCCCCACACGGGCGTGGTCCCTGTGGAAGCAGCTCTGCTCACTCACACCGACGAAAGAAAAATCCAGAAAATACGTTCTAATAGATCTTTAGACTAAGGAGAATATGTCTAAAGTGAATTGAAGAAAATATTAGTAAGGCTACCTAAAAATAAAGAACCATGGATAAAAATCATAACACCATCAAAATGATGAGACATATTATACAAGATTACTGTCTTAATATATAAGAAAGTCTATGAATCACTACAAGCTTTAACTATCTAACCGGAGATTGGCAGAGAATGTCAGTAGGTTGATTTTAGTAAAGCAAATGTAAGTAGCCCTTAAACGAAGACAAGATGTTGCATTTTGTAATGAGACACAACTTAGACCTGTAGTTCTCCGTGTCCACCTGTGAATCGGACCAGATAAACACTCACAATGACAGGATGGGGGCAGAGAGTGACAAATAAGCTCGCTCACACTTCCTGGAAGTGTGAAATGATACAATCTCTCAGGAAGGCATTTTCTTAACACCCATCAGAGTTAAAAGCAAGATTTCATTTCTAAGTATTTATATACATGTTCTTGCATTTATATGAAGATGTTGATTGCAACATTACATAATTGCCAATCTGGAAATAACTTAAAAGTCTATCAATGGAAAATACATAAAATCATTTACAGTAATGTGCATACTGTGAGAGGCAGCTGAGATCAAAAGTTGTTTCCAAAATCTAATGTTAATTGCAAACAACAAAATCATACATATATGTTTGTGCTGATATGGCATAGAATATTCTGGAAGAATATAGAAAATAGCTGCTTTGGGAGTAGCAAACGGTGCCAAGGAGACCCACTTTTCATTGTACACCCTCTTGTGCATTTCTTTATTTAAAATACATTTTTATTGATTTGAGACAGGAATGGAGAGGGAGAGGGAGAGGGAGAAAGAAACATCAATGATGAGAGAAAATCATGGATCGCCTGCCTCCTGCACACTCCACTGGGGATCGAGCTCAAAACCCAGGCATGCGCCCTTGAATAGAATCAAACTGAGCCAAATCGGCTGGAGCCTGTTGTGCATTTCTAAACTTGCACCTATTAAAGTTACTTCATCAATTTTTAAAAGAATTAAATATTGGTAAATAATTACTCTGATTAATACTGTGAAACTACTTTTTCTGGCCAAAAAGAGGGCTTATTTAAATTAATACAACCTTGAAGTGTGCATTGAATTTTCATAGATGCCAAAAATATCAATAGTTAATTAATAAAAGAATTGTAAAATTTAAACTATAGATTGAAAACATTTCAATTGCTCATAATAAATATTTTAGGAGAACTAATACTTAGATTTTTTCAAATAGAAGGGGATTTTCCATTATTTAATCAGTTATGAGAAAAGACTACAGGAAATTATTTCAAATATTTCAGTTGTTAGCTGAGATGTAAATAACTTTCTTGAATTTGTTAATCTGATCAATATAAATAGTTTTTAATAATTCAAGCACAAAAAAAGGGTGGATGTTAAAGCTTGAATTAAATCTAGCATGTTAGTTAATGAAAAGTATTTTGATTTGAAGATGATTATTAGTCAAATAATCTTAAAGTTTATAATAAAAACTTAAGGGCAGATCTAGTTAAAAAAATGTAGATATTAGTAACATTTCAATATTTTAAAATATAGCAGGATATAGCTAAAGAGCACAGTGTGACTGCCCTCTGCCCCCATGGGGGGCCTGGCACCTGGGCGTTTGCTGGAGGCACAGGCACCCTCCTTCCCTCAGGACCGGGCTGAGCGCCGCCTCCCAGAACCAAACACGGGTCCAGAGGCGCGCACTCTCAGCCGTGGGAGCGTGTCCAGAATTTCAGATACAGTCCACTTTCCATGTTTTATTCCAACATGTACCGTAGAGTGCTGGTTGGAATGTTTAGGACGTTTAAGTACACAGTCTGCTAGGGTGCCACTGAGGGAGGAGGAGAGAAAGCAACTCTCAAATCGTGCTGGTTGGAGGCGGCCAGGCAGGGCCAGGCTGAGACAGGTATTCTATGTCCTTATACAGGCAACGCCTTTGCTTCCAAGGTGAGTGCTCCGGGTCAGGAAACTGGCCTCGCCTGGCAGCTCCACAGAGCAATTCCTGTTTCCCCTTTGTTCATTCTGAGTCCCCACTCGTAAACACAGGCACACCTGACAATGTGTCAAACGTATTATCTACTTGCAGTTAATCCTGCAAAAAAATAAAAGAAAAAGAAAAGAAAAGAAGAGAGAGAGAGAGAGAGAGAGAGAGAGAGAGAGAGAGAGAGAGAGAGAGAGATATCAGGGATTGTGATTTGTAGACTAGTTTTTATTTTGTTACTGTGGAGTGGTCTGTTTTTACCAGGATTTATAAAACTGGAAGTTCACATTTCTCCTGCAGAAAGCTAGGAAAGCTAGTGCCATCTGGTGGTGCCCTGCCGGTTTGACGTCCGTTTGAATTCCAGCAAAAATAGGAAAAAGGCAATTGTCAACTTTCACTTACACTTCGTCTCTAAGCAGAAAAGGTAAAGCTATTGATCAGGGCGAATAAATCGAGTCCAAAGTCGACCCAGTAACGACCAATGGCATAGTGACCAACATGCTCTTCATTACATTTTAAATACTAATCGACACTTATAATTCACCATTGTGCCTGAGAGCTCATTCTTTTTTACAGAAAAAATTATATATATATATAATTATATATATATATATATATATATATATTTAATTGATTTTAGAGAGACAAAGGGAGGGGGAGAGATAGAAACATTGATAAGAGGGAATCATTGATCGGTTGCCTCCTACTAGGGATTGAACCCACCAATCTGGGCATGTGCCCTGACTGGAATCGAACCTTGACCTCCTGGGTTATAGGCCGACGCTCAACCACTGAGCCATTGCGGCCAGGCCGCAGCTCATTCTTCACAAAGTCCTCCTTCTTCTTTGCCCTGATCATCCACTCCAGCGGGTGTGCTGTTGGCTGTTGTGTAAAGGGCTTCTCAGCCAGTGCTTAGGGAACGTGAAACCTGCTCTGTCTTCGTTTCACCACCAAGTCACCACTGCCCTTTAGCTGAAGCAGCGGGAGACCTCCTGTTTCTCTCAAAGAAGGCCCTCCCAGGCGGGCCCTCCTCTGTCCCGGCAGGCAGCAGGGGGTGGCTCAGGGCGGAGCTGCGGGTTACTCCTCAGGCGGGCTGCGGCCGTGGCCCTGTGGGGTCTGTGCAGGCGTGGTCAAGTGACACCCTGAGCCACCTCGGGGGGGAAACCTGGGGCCCCACCTTCCAGAGGGGCCCTCGGCCCTGTTCCTGCCCCTGGTTCAGAGGGGGGGAGAAGGGGGGAGGAAAAGGGGGGCATGAACACCAGCCCCACCCCAGGGGTGTTTAGGGGCTTTAATTTGGCTGGTCCATCGCTACCCATTCTGACTTAGTCCTGACCCCTGGCTTACCTCTCAGTTTGTTTTTTTTTTTTAATATTTTATTGATTTTTTTTACAGAGAGAAAGGGAGAAGGATAGAGAGCTAGAAATATCGATGAGAGAGAGACATCCACCAGCTGCCTCCTGCACACCCCTCACCGGGGATGTGCCCGCAACCAATGTGCATGCCCTTGACCGGAATCAAACCCAGGACCTTTCAGTCCGAAGACCGACGCTATACCTACTGAGCCAAACCAGTTTCGGCACCTCTCAGTATTTTGTCCCGTGTTTTCTACCCCCCTTTAAAGCTCAGCATGGGAGTCGTATGCCAGGTCCTTGCAGCTGGCTGCCTCGGAGCCGCTTGCACGAAGCCTCCTGCCGGGCACTGCAGCCGGGAGACGGTCTTGCGTGGCAGGGGCAGGGGAGGAGGTGAAGAGAGGGCTGAGTCTCGGAGTTTTGTCTCTGATCTTGTAAGTTCCCTACCGCGGGACAACCAGAGGAGTTGAAATGGTAGAGTGTGAACCAAAGAGGCTGTCTTAAAGTGTGTGAGCTATCCCTGCCGTGGAGTTTGATCTCAGGAGGGAGCTGAGCAGGGCGGGTGGCGACCTTGGGAGGTACTGGTTTCTCCTGGGACAGTCCTCCGTGGCAGGCAGGCCCCATCACAGCCGAGAGGAGCCACAGCACGCCCGCAGTGCTGCCATCATGGAGGCGCCCCAGCGGAGTCAGCTGCCACTGGAATTAGCCACCAGAACCTCAATTTTTGATCACTTGAGTTTACACATCACCTCTCCGGCTTCCTGCATCCAGCAGGTGTCGGTCTGACACGTTTCTGCTGAGCACCAGCAGGGGGCGTGCCAGTGCTCTCTCTCCGGCTGCGAAGGAGTCTGCGGGACTGTCATAGCCACTCCGCAAGCAGCTGGGCAGTGGGACTGGGCAGCGGGGCTGAGAAAATGGCCCAGGACTTCCTGCTGACATGGAGCAGGTCCTTTAGCTGGTCAGCTGGACCTTTGCCCAGCAAGCAGTGCACTGCGGCCGGGGGCGTGAAGAAGGAAGTCATGGCGTGGGGAGGAGTGGCCGTGGTGGCGGTGGCGGTGGCGGTGGCGATGGCCGTGGCAGTGGTGGTGGCAGTGGCCGTGGCGGTGGTGGACGCCGTGGCGGTGGCCATGGTGGCAGTGGCACACCGGCCTCCTGAGTGCTCTCTGGTCCTGGGCAGCAGTAGCCATGTGATTAAGCCTAATGTCTGCTTCTTCCAGTTTCTCTGAAACCTGACAGCACCTCATTGCTTTGTGGCCAGGGCTTGGGCACTGATAAGGTCAAGGGAATGTACAATTTCTACTCAACTCACAGGAAGAAAAAACAGGTTTTCCATGAGTCAAATGCAGTAGCAATGCCCTGGTTAAGGTGTGCTGAGGGTGCTGTGCAGGGCCTGAGCCAGAGACTTCCGAAGGGGAAGGTCACAGGAAGAGCAGGATCAGACTTCCCCGTTTCGCGGTACACACTTACGTACATGAAGACAGAACGGGGAGGGCGCCGTTAACACAGCACAAGGCTGCCTGCGGCGGCTGCCTGCGGGCTCTGGGTGCGAGAAGGATGGCTTTCCTCAGAGACCTCGGGGTGGCCGATGGTCGCCGACTGTCCTTGGCCTCCCTCCGCTCACCCCGATGCCACGTGGTCTCCACGGAAGCTCAGCAGAGGCGAGCCCCCCCCCCCCCCCCCCGTGGGCTTTGGAGCGAGGGAGTGGGGCGGCCGGTGGGTGTCCACGCCTGCTTCTAAACGGCTTCCGCACGCGAGGGGAGCGGAGTTAACCCGGAGGATGGTGAGAACCCGCAGGCTCCGGAAGGTGCAGGGGGAGGGGAAGGGCTGTGGGCGGGAGGTGCTCTGCCCGCAGGTGTCCTCCAGCAGCCCGGAGCCGCAGGCCGCGGGGATGGGATCTGCGGGTTCCGCCCTCCCGGATCCAAGCAGGAGCCCAGAGAGTGAGACCAGCTGCTTTGTGCTCTGCTTCTTCCTCTCTGCCCTGTGCTCCCGCAGAAGCCAGGTGGCTGTTTGCATGTGAAGCCGCTCCCGGCAGAGGAGCAGCGCAGAGGTAACCTGCTCTTTGTGCTTCAGGCCTCACAGGGGACCCGGCCCGAGAGCACCGCGACCTTTAACCCCTACGAGCCGGAGGGAGCACCCTGGGCCTCTGACAGAGGTGAGAGCTGCCCGCTCAGCCCTGGCGTTTCCGCTGGGGAACACAGCCTCCCTCCCGCCTCCTCACGCCAACTCTGCCCCAGGTTCGCGTCCGAGGGCACGTCCAGGCGGGTGCTGCGCCCATTGTGCCTGGAGGAGGGGCCAGCGCAGGGGGAAAGTGCACCCTGGCAGACACCTGGGCCGTGAGGGCCTGGGGAGGACGGGGCTGGCTGTGGCCGCACCGGAGGCTGCGCAGGGAGAAGGAGCTCCGTGGGCTCAGTGTCCTCCGCCTGGTTATCGGAATGGGCCTTGGCACGGCCTTCTGGGCCGGAGGTGACCCAGGACACTTCTTATTGGTGAGCTCGGTCTGTTCGTCACCACAAAAGCCACCCAAAGCTTAGCTTCAAACACAGCAGTCATGACTGGGCCTCTCCCTGCGCCACCTGGTGCGGGCCAGGCGTGTACCAGGCCTCCGCAGTCACACCGGCAGCCGGTGCAGGCCTGGCGAGGCCCAGTCACCGTCTCCACTAACCGTGGGCCCCAGCCTGGCCTCCCACGCCCTCAGGTTGTCTCCCAGCCCGGGCGGCGTCAGGGCAGTGGCACACCCTGCATGGCTTCAGGAGCCTCAGAGCCATATTGCAGGCAAATGAGCCGCTTGTAACCTCCCCCGAGTCCGTCTCCAGCGTCGCTCCTGAGAGGAGCTGTGGGGACATGGTCACAGCAGCCACCGAGGCGGGGCAGCCTGCACTGCCCAACGGCGGGGGGGTCAGCACTTTCAGAAATACAGTCACCATCCCACCAGGCCTCTGGTATGCACGCCCTGTCCAGTGAGCAGTCACGCAGGAATGGTCACGGACTGCAGGCCTCGGGGCTTGTTGCTGCCAGCGGGCCGGGAAAGGCCGCCTGGCACTCCCAGCCCCGTCACCCCCCAGAGTGGCCAAGGGCAGCTGTGGCCACGGGAGGTCGGGGGGTGGATGGCGGACTTCACCAGGCCCCAGCCTGTGCTCCCCACTCTGTGCAGAGCCCCAGAGAGAAGCGCTGCCCATGGACACGGGGGTGTACGAGAGCCCCTATGCGGACCCCGAGGAGATCCGGCCCAAGGAGGTCTACCTGGACCGGACGCTGCTGACGCTGGAGGACAAGGAGCTGGGCTCCGGCAACTTCGGCACCGTGAAGAAGGGCTACTACCAGATGAAAAAGTGAGTCCGGGCTGCGGCTTGCCACTCCACCTGTGTGGCCTCTTAACCCCAGCAGGAGGGCAGCGCACCAGACCCGGGTCTTTCTGTACCAACAGGATGATTTTTGTCCATTTCTGGTGCAGTATATTCAGTATATAGACAGTCTATAATAATAAAAGCCCAATGTGCTAATTACACGGATGTCCTTCTGGACGAAGCCGGGCTGTGAGGGAAGCCCGGGTCCGAGGTGCCAGAGGGAAGCTGGTGCCGGCAGTCGGGAGAAGGAAGCCTACTCTTGCATGAATTTCGTGCACCAGCCTCTATGATTATGTATGATAGCTTGGAGGTTCCACGGGTATCTTGTAGAGAATTAGAAAATAGTTACAAGTGAATCATAAAAATATAAAAATGTCATATTTGTATCAGCCAAATATCACTTTTGTGAACTAACCATAGTGTGTGTGAGAGAGATCTTTATATGCACACACATACATATGCTACTTAATTAAAATGCAATCATTCAGCGACAGTGTTGTCAACTTATTTTCTTCAATTTTTTTAAATTGTGTCTCATTTTTCTTATGCAAAAAAATTTCTAATTTCAAATATCATTAGCATAATTATTTATTTGCTTTATCCCATAATTTCAAATAACAATACCTATTAGGCAATCATTAGAATTGAACTAGTATGTTACTGATCTGAATAAAGCTGGTTTTGTTGTTCGATGCTATTTTAAATGTAAGGAACTTGTGTAAATGTGTTTGAGTAGGTAAGTAACATGATTCAAGGGTCAAGAATATAGATAAATGTCCGTTCTTACGGACATTTACCTCCAGCGGCCTGTTGACCGGTCTGTGTGTTCTGGCTTCTTTGCAGAGTTGTGAAGACGGTGGCTGTGAAAATCCTGAAAAACGAGGCCAACGACCCGGCTCTGAAAGACGAGCTGCTGGCAGAGGCCAACGTCATGCAGCAGCTGGACAACCCGTACATCGTGCGCATGATCGGCATCTGCGAGGCCGAGTCCTGGATGCTGGTCATGGAGATGGCCGAGCTGGGCCCGCTCAACAAGTACCTGCAGCAGAACAGGTACTGCCGCCAGCACCCGCCGCGGGGCCCGAGCCCGGGCCCCGGAGGCCTCTCCCTCCATCGCCACGCGCCTTGCCAGAGGAGAGAGCTCTTGTCTGTGGATCAGCTGTTTCTTAGCTCCTTTTGGGCAAAAACAAAAACAAACAAACAAAAACCTCTAGCTTGCCAGTTTGTATTTCATTCTCTTTGCCCGCTCTGTCCTGGCAGTCAGCGTCACCTCCGAGGAAAGACCTGCTTGTTACAAGAACATGTAATAAGCTTTCTGGGGGAGAACCGCGGCTCGTCCTGGTGGCTGGCCTCTGCGCCCGCGGTAACCGCTGCTGCATGTGCCGCTCGGTGCGGAGGCGGAGTGACGCCTGGCCGAGCCACTGGCTGCTAACCACTCGCCACACCGCGCTTCTCCTGAGGCTTTAATCGCCTGGAGGGGAGGCATTGCTCCTGCGTGGGGGGAAACTGGACCCAGAGAGGGTTTGTTTTCCATCCAGGAGTGAAGCCCGGTTCTCCTTTGGCCCGGAATGCCGTGCAGTTCAAAGCCTTGAAAGTCGCACCACTGACGGTGCTCACTCTTGAACAGCTGTAGGTTAGCAAGGTTCTGTCACGGCGGCGGCTCCTGCATGCACCCGTCCGCCGTCACTAATGCACACTTGCCTTGCAGACACGTCAAGGACAAGAACATCATCGAGCTGGTCCACCAGGTGTCCATGGGGATGAAGTACCTGGAGGAGTGCAACTTCGTGCACAGAGACCTGGCGGCGAGGAACGTCCTGCTGGTGACGCAGCACTACGCCAAGATCAGCGACTTCGGGCTGTCCAAGGCCCTCCGCGCCGACGAGAACTACTACAAGGTGGGCAGCGCGGTGCTCGGCGGCGGCGGCGGAATTCTCCTCTGTGTTATGAGGGGATTCTAGGGAGCAGGGCCCTGTTTAACATGGCCATGCAAAATGTTCTTCTGGAGCTTCGGTTCTATTGTTAAAATGGAAACACTAATATATCACAACCTGAGATTTACTCAGAACAGTATCTTCCAAACCACGTTCCTTGGACAATAGGGAACCCACCATTAAGGGTCAGAAAGAGAACTGAAGAACACAGCCCCATTTATAGTCCCAGCAAAGCATAGAGAGCACACGGATAAATCAGCCCGGGAGCGAAGCCCGTGCTCCATGTCAGAACGGCTGCTGCCCAAGACAAGGAAGCAGGCGTGTCCGGAGGTGAGGAAGGAGGGCACGCCCGGGCACTGCTGGTGGGCAGGGGCACAGCCACTGTGGGAAGTCGGATGACGGCTCCTCAAAAATTTAAGAATAGTGTGACCTCGGACCCAGCAGCCCCACGTTCGCATATTCTCCTGAAGGAGATAAAACCGCTGTGCGAGGGCGGCTGTGCCTCCATGTTAGCGCAGCACCGTTCACAATGGCCACGGTTTGGAAACAACCCAAATGCCTGCCAGTGGATAAACGGGTAGAGAAAATGTACACACACACACACACGCACACGCACACACGCACGTCAACTGTTAAAAAGAAGGAGATGCTGCTGTTTGCAAGAACATAGATGAAGAGTGAGAGCATCATACAGGGTGACATCAGTCAGACAAAATAAAACAAATACTCCATCATCTCACCTGTGAAACCCAAAGAAGCTGAGCCCCTGGGAACAGAGAGCAGGTCGGGCAGGAAGTGGATGGAGGTGGTCAGATGCACAAACGTCCAGCTGAGACCAGTGAGCTCGGGCATCTCGTCAGCACGGCGGTCCTGAGAGAGGAGACAGTAAAGTTCTCACCACTGTAACAGCGACAAAGCGGAATCACGTCAGGTGAAGGCCACGCAGCTAACTACTGTTGTCAACAGCTCACAAAGTACAGGTGTATCCAACTATCCTCTTGCACACAAACCAAAAGCCGAGTTAGAACCCGTAAAAAGAGACTAAACGCTCCAAGAAGAAGGTGACATGGAGAATATCTCATAAGCAAACAAAGCAAAATGGGCTAACAGAATAAAAAGCTGAAGGTTTGGAAAGAAGCAACAGGGGTGGAAGCAAATGAGCCTCCGCGCCCTTCGCCTGCAGCTCCCTGAGCCACGGGCACACAGGCTCCCGTGCGGTCTGCGCGGACAGGTTTGGGCAACAATACCTCACACAAGTCCATTGGCGCTATTTTTCCAACAGCATTTTGCTCCCTTTATGTCTGTGTCACATTTTGGTAATTCCTGTGATATCTTTTGGTTACTGTTAGTTTTGTTGTGCTGGTCTTCCCTCGGTGATGTTGGATGTTGTTATAAACGCTTCGGAGCAACACCAACTGCTCCCATAAGACGGCAAAGCTGGTGAATGCCGGTGTGCTCTGATTTTCTGCAACCAACCTCCCCTGTGTCTCCTTCCCCACCGTCCTCTCCCTGACACACCACAACATGGGAATTAGACCAACCATTAACCCCGCAGCGGCCTCTATGGTCGCCACGGACAGCAGCCCCTCGGATGGGCCTGGGCAGAGAAAGTGAAGCCTGTCCCGTCACTGGAGCATCCGTGATTCCTGGGAGAGGCCACAGTCAGCACCAAGGAGGCTGGGAGACGCGGGCGGTGACTGCAGGTGGCTTCTGGAAGGGGCGCCTGGGGACATGGGGTGGGGGGGGAGGCCAGCCCCATGGGAGCTATGGCGGGGAGCTCTCGATCTCATGATGGAACCTAAGGGTGGGGAGCGCAGCCCATGGATGAGCAAAGGAAGTGATTGCTTGAGAGGAACCGACTCCTGGCGAGGAGGCCGCGGGGCCTGTGGCGATGACGGTGAAGGCTTTAGAGTCTCCCGTGAACTCAGCTGGGGACACGCAGCCACAGGGTGAGAGGCCCTCCAAGTCTGAGGGTGCTGTGGGCACAACGCCATCACTCAGTAGCCAGTGCTGCAGAGAAACCAGCGTGCGTGCAAGGAAGTCATCGATGCAGCCAACTTCACTGTTGTCTTATTTTAACAACCTCTCCCTCCCCTCCTGCCCCCCCAACCTTCGGCCACCACCAACCTGATCAGCCCGGAGCCATCAGCATTGAGGCAAGACCCTCCGCAGTGACGATTTGGACTCGTTGAAGGCCAGGCGATGGCTAGAACGTCTTAGATGTGAAGTGTTTTAATTAGGGCCATACCCTGCTCTCTTAGACGGAGTGGACTGCAGTGTAGTGTGGACGTGCATGCTCTTGGAAACCAGAAGTTCCTGACTGCCGCTGCGGTGGTGTCCGGAGTGGGAGTCACCGACCCGCCCAGGCCACCTCACACGCTGCAGCTCTGGCCAGGGAGGCAGGGTGTGTGGTGACGGGCCTCTCGGCGGAGCTGGCGAAGCTAGTTGCAGGAGATTTATGTGAAGCACACAATTAACTCTTTTAAAATTGACTTTATTTGTATGGACTGACATAGACACATATCTAAGACGCAGGGTTAGTAGAAAAATTAAAAAGTAAAGTGCAAAAAGGGTGTGCCTCTAACTTTATCACCCCCAGAAGCATATGTTCCCTGCTTACACTGTATCTGTATTTTTCTGGAAGGATCCAAGGAAAGTTCTCCAAGGTGGTTGTCTCTGTAGAAGGAGGTGGTGGTGGGCACAACTTTTGAAAATCTAAATCTGAAGACAAAGCAGAACATGGAGGAGACAGAGGTGCGATCAGTGTGGCTAATCACTGAGCTGCCGGGCACCTGTGGTCTCAGACCCATTCCCCATGATGCCCCCCCCGCCCCGCCCCCTCTGCCCTGCCCCCTCTGCAGAATGAAGTGACACCCCAGGGGCAGCAGGCCTCACAGCCCCTGAGCCCCTGAGCAAAGGCCTCCGGGAGGCACAGTTTGGGTCTACTTCCTCCTTCAGAATGAGAGCGTTTGACATGCTGTAAGCAGCGGTGCCAGTCAGGGAGTGCGGGCTCAGAGCCGCAGACGGTGCACTGAGAGCCGCCGGCTCCTGGCGCCCTGTGACCGGCCACCGGCTGTGAGGGCCGGAGGACGAGGTGAGAGGAAATGACTAAGAGATGCACCAAAGTCGATCTCAATCATTTAAAACTGTACTTGAGAGTGAAAAGTTTAAGATTTTGGGTTTTAATCGAATGTTTAAGGTTCATTCCAATTACATGCACACATGCACATATGCATATACCTTCACACAGGACACATGCATGCGTGTGCATAGTGTAGTGAGTCATGATTTCATTCTTTTTTTAAATTGTGGTAAAATACATAAGTTTTACCATCTTACTATTTTCAGGATTACAGTTCAGTGATGTTAAGAACGCTCACTTTGTTTACAACTGCATCACATTTCTAGAATTCTTTTCATCTGACCAGCTGAAACTATGCTCACTAAAGCCCCCATGTCTCCCTCTGCACGGCCCTGCACCCTCCCTCCACTTCCTGTCTCTTCCTGGGACCACTCCAGGGCCCTCGATGAGTAGAACCTTCCGGTGCTTGCCCTCTTGTGACTGGACTGGCCCCTCATGGTTTACCCATGCTGTCATGTGTGTCCGAATCCCTTCCTCCAGAAGGCTGGTGAATCCGCTGAAGGTCCAGCCCGATCTGTCTGTCTGTCCTCTCTCAGCGGCACTGGGTGCTGCCGCTGGGGGTGGGTGAGCAGAGCTGCATGGACACGGCCTGTTCTGACGGAAGTTCTCCCTTTGCCTCGCTCCCAGGCGCAGACGCACGGGAAGTGGCCGGTGAAGTGGTACGCCCCCGAGTGCATCAACTACTACAAGTTCTCCAGCAAGAGCGACGTCTGGAGCTTCGGGGTGCTCATGTGGGAAGCGTTTTCCTACGGGCAGAAGCCGTATCGGGTGAGCCTCTGCTTCTCATTCCTGGTCCCGGGGGCTCATTCCATCTGAGCAGACAGGCACCTTCACTCCGGGGTGCTGGCCTTTCCTCTGAGGCTCTGCTGTCGGCGACGGTGCATAGGCCCTTCATTCATGCTAAACCGCCAGAGAAATGTGTCACGCTAGCTGAACAGTACAGCTTTCTGTCATTGTACACTACGCATGTCAATATGCATAGGATGTACCGAATCAACATTAATTAAAATTGAAATAGAAAGCACGGCTATTTCCAGTATCAGATCTGCAGCTCAGTACATTTGTTAGATGTCCTTAGACTGAGGCACACGAGCCAAAAAGGGCGTAGCTGCTGGGACGCAGCTTGTGAACCTTCACTAATGGAACACACCGTGAAAGCAGCCTCAGAGGAAAACGACAGAACCCACTCTCCTCCCCTGCACGCACGCCTCCGCGAGGGCACCTCCTTGGCGTCGAGATCCTCGCCAGGCGCTCCTCGGTCCTTTCTGTCTCTTTATCATTGAAGTTGCACCTCATGTCCTCTTGTTTTGTTGGGGATGGCAGTTGGGATGTATTTGTGCTTTGTTTTGTTTTGCTGAGGGCTGTGTTTAAAGATCTCAGGTATATTTGCATGTTTTAGGGGATGAAAGGAAGTGAGGTGTCCGCGATGCTGGAGAAAGGAGAGAGGATGGGGTGCCCTCCGGGGTGTCCGAGAGAGATGTACGAGCTGATGACCCTGTGCTGGACCTATGAGTGAGTACCCCTTCCCCGTGCATGCAGCCGCTCGGACCAGCGTGCCGGGCTGTCTTCTGGGGGGGGGGGGGGCCTCCCGCACAGCAGGGAGCTGCCTTGCTTTCTGGGCCACGCACTTCCATTCTTTAGTCTGAGACTAAGTGTAGACAATTACCCTAATCCCGGAGGGCACGTTGTAAATGTAGATGATATTGGCGGGAGGGAGGAGGCCACAGTAGGAAGATGCTCCTATGTCCGGTCTGGTACTGTGGACCCTTCTTGGAGACCGAGGATGAGAGATGCTTGGTGGGAAATTTGTGTTTTCCTAGTTCCTGGCCACCTTCCGGGGTAAGTCGTGCCCACGATGCTGGCTGGCTCTCAGATGAAATGTGAGATAGCATTGCCCAAGGAGTGCCCCAGGCCTGGGGCTGGTGGTCCTCAAGGTTGACTGGAGCACACGTGATCTTATGGCAGCTCAGCAGGGGGGAGACCATCACACCCGGGGGCCGGGGAAGGACACACCCGGGGGAGGACACACCCGGGGAAGGACACACCCGGGGGAGGATCACACCCGGGGGAGGACACACCCGGGGAAGGACACACCCGGGGGAGGATCATACCCAGGGGAGGATCACACCCGGGGAGGGACACACCCGGGGGAGGGACACACCCGGGGGAGGGACACACCCGGGGGAGGATCACACCCGGGGAAGGATCACACCCGGGGGAGGATCACACCCGGGGGAGGATACACCTGGGGGAGGATCACACCTGGGGAGGACACACCCGGGGAGGGTCACACCCGGGGGGGGGGGGGGGGACACACCCAGGGGAGGGACACACCCAGGGCCTGGGGGAGGATACACCTGCACCTGCAGACCGGGGAGGGACACACCTGGGGAAGGATCACACCCCAGGACCGAGGAAGCATACACCCGGGGACCAGGGAGAATCACACCCGGGAGGCACTCGTATTCGCAGTAGATTTAATAACTTGGGGAGAGCTCTGCTCTGAGGTGCAGGGCTGGTGATGCTGGAGCGCCCCTGGAAAGGGGGCATTGCAGGTGCTCTCAGGCACCACCAGGACTCTGCGGCCCGCAGAGAGCACCACTGCCCACGCTGGGTCTCACCAGGGTCAGCCCCACGGGGAAAGGGCAGTATGCCCAGCTGCGGGTGCTGACGCTCAGCGAGGCCCTCTGGACCAAAGCTGCCCACTGGGCTGGGAGCGTCTTGAGCTGCTGACAGTGCCGGCAGGGAGAGGCGGGAGGAGGTTTTGGGTGGGGGTGTCCATTCTTTGAGTCTTGGCTAAGTGCACCCCATGGGGCCCACACCAGGATCACTGGACTCACAGACAGGAAGGCCCCCGCCATTTTCAAAGTGAAACTCAGGGGTCTGGACTAGACTGCGGTTGGGTGAGTCCTGCAGGAAACAGAAGACCAAGGCCCCCAGGGAGGTTACCGACCTGACTCCACACCTTGCACCTGCCACCTGCACTGACTCAGGCCCGGCCTCCCGCCGGGAGGAGCCTCTGAAAGGCAGGGCAGGAGGGTGGCCCTGACCGGGAGAGGATGGCTCACACTTCTCTCGGCAGCCCCTGTCCTCCGCGGGCCCGGGGAGCGGGGCTTCCTGGCTCTCGCAGGCGCTGTGTGCTGTGCTCCTGGCGGGCCGGGCCCCGGTGGCTGTGAGGTGTCCCGGGAGCAGAGCAGACCGGGGTGGGGAGATGGCGAAGCCGTGGGGGGGCAGGGCCCGAAAGCCTGTGGCACTCAGAGCTCTCCAGTCTGCCTGCGCCTTCGTGTGGAAGGTTTCACTTCCCGAGAAAGATGAACTTTGAGTCATTCTGAGACAAGTGGGAAAAAGAATTAAAAGGAACTCTCAGGGAGAAGGTTAATGCAGTGTTTTGCTCTGAATGTGACGCCTGACGTGTTTATTTCTGTCCGCTGTTCTCCATGGTGGATGCTGACCATTGAGAAGTGGGGGGGGGGGGGGGCCATTAGGGGATGTGCTCCTTAGGGGGACAGGGGGAGGGTGTAGTGATGCAGTGAGGTACCCCGGCTTGGAAGGGGGGTGATTCTGTGAGACACCCCAGCTTGAAGCAGGGGCAGATGCAGCGAGGCACCCCGTGTAGCTGGGGGCAGAGAGCCTGGACCAGATCTGCTCGGCGCCTTTGTGCCCCTGGACACACAGCCTCTGCTGCTCCGGGCCTGGGAGGCTGCCGGGGTCCTCGCAGACCGCCCCCAGGAGCTGGCAGCAGCCCGGGAGCGGAGAGCAGCAGTGACGGCGGCCACGCCGCATCAGGGGACAGCTCCTCGTCAAACAGGCTGGGCGGAGGGCGGAGGGCCTCCGGGTGGCGCGGGGTGGCTCGGTCCGCTGCCGGTCAGGAGCGGGGTCAGGGACGCTGCGTAGCGATAAGTCGTCACAGGTGTGCGGCTGAATGAGAGAGAACACGCACAGCCATTTGGGAGCATGGCCAGCCAGGAGCCTGGGAAGCGCAGCAGCTGGCGGGGGAGTCACCTGGCCCCCCTGTGGGAGCCTGCGGGTGAGGAGGGCAGCGGGCGGTGGCCAGTGGGCTCGCAGCCCCTTCCCTGCGAGCTCTTAAAGGAGGTGAGTCCGCTGGCGCTCAGAGCCTAGGACACAGGCGGGGGCGGGCGGAGTGCGTGTGTGAGGACCCCGTGTTCACACAGTTCTGCTCGGAGGAGAGGAGAAGGCTGCCTGGGCAGGATGCCTGGGAGCTTCCAGAACCCAGAGTCCGTAAAGCAAACACAAACCACCTGTGCGGCCTCCAAGCTCTCCTCATTGTAAACAGCCAGCCACCTTCTCCTAGGTGATCGGGTTTTATTGTTCTATATGTTCCTATTGACTTTGCTAGAGAAGAAAGGTGAGGATAGAGAGAGAAACATCCATTGGCTACCAAGCAGCGCAGCCCAGGATACGCGGTACCTCCTCTGCCCAGATTTTGATAGCTAGGTGGGTGGGAAAGGAGGTGGACAGACAGATAGGAAGGTAGGTGGGTAGCTAGGTAGGTAAATAGGCAGAGGGAAGGGTGGGTGAACAGGTGGATAGAAAGACAAAAGATGGGTGGATAGTTACATACATTGATTGGTAGGTGATGGGTGGAAGGATAGATACCTAGGAAATAGGTAGACAGATGAGTAGCTAGCTAACAGGTGACAGATGACAGATCAGTAAATCAATAGGTGATAGGTGGGTGATGGGTAGGAATGGTGGGATAGACAGATAAGTAACACCTTACACAGAGGACATGTACACACACCTCAGCTCTGAGGCAGACTCCCTGCCACTGCCCTTCATTTCCTGCGGCTGAGACCCCTCCCAGAGGCCACCCTCCTGGGCTGGGCGGCACTGGGCCAGCAGGAAGCCCCAACTCCCACAGAAGCCTGTGATGGCGCTGCAGAGCCAGCTGCAGGGGGCATGGGACGGGAACCGGGTAGGGTCACACCTCTCAGGTCCGTGTTGGGCCCTTTGGACAGGGTTTTCCCTGACAATTGCAGGATGGGGAGCTGGGCAGGAAATGCGTGGGAAGAAGGGGAGTGCTGGGCACAGGGGAAGCGTGGACATAGCATCGGCCCAGGAGGGTGGAAGCAGCACAGCCCAGGATACGCGGTGCCCTCCTCTGCCCAGGCTCCGGTGGTCCTGGGTCCTCCGGCAACCCGGCCCCCCGGGACACCCGACCGCCGTCTTCTCTGAGGCCCAGGCTGTATCCGTCTCTCGGCACCAGCTTCTCGGTGCTTAGCTGCCCGTGAACGAAACCCACAGCAAGACAGGCAGGTGCTGTGCGCTCAGGCCCGCAGTGGGGCAGGACTTTCTGCTCTGCAAAGACGGTCAGTGTGTGTTCCCTTGGGAGCAGGTCCGAGGCTGTCTGTCCGTGTAGACAGTTTCTGCCTGTGTTTCTGCCCCCCGGGCTTGGCCATCACATTCCTTCCTAGACCACAACCCAGGGCCAGGGACACGGCCCCGCGGCAGCTGGTGTTCTCGGGCAGTGCTGCCTGCTCTTGAAAGCTGAGGTCTGGAACAGCATCGCTCTGTGAGAACTCGATGGGGCGCGGGGGCCTGCCTCTGGCGTACCGCAGCTAGCCTGTGGCCAGTGGCCATACGGCGTCTCGCTTTAAGTCACAGAACCACTCGATGTTGATGCCATTTGACTAAATCTTCATCCCATCTCAGCTCTGTAGGATCCGCTCCGCTCTTATATTGTGGGTGAGCCTGAGGCCTTGTGCATGCTCTAACTGTTCCCATACCCAGACTGAACCTTATAAAATTATAGTTGAAGGTCTAAAAGGTTGACTATGGACAGTCCATAGTTTAATTTCAAGTTTTGGTTCACTTATTAGGCAATTTTAACCACTTAAAATATAGGGGAAAATCTTGCAAAATAAGTAAAATTATTTCCAAACAAGAATAGGTTCTTGGAGTTTTAAGAAATTCTTGCTGGCAACAGGGCCTGCTCAGTGTGCCTGTGTAGAGCAGAGATGGGATGTTTGTTCAGAAACTGCGAATTGCACAGGCTTTCCCCCGCGGGTGGCCAGCGGCCAGAGGGAGGCCTGCTGCGCCAAGACAATGACCAGGCCCGCGTCTCTGCTTCTGCCCGACGGGCTTTTAGTTTTGATGTGAGTCTTATCCAAGCACACGAGCCATCGGGAGGGGTGTGGCAAGGGACAGTCTAACTGTGGCCATTTTCTTCTTAACACGGCTATGACTCTAACGTAAAGGTGTGTCTACAGCATGCTGACCAATGACATCTTCCAGACATGGCTGTTCTGCTGCATCCTGGGTTAACGGATCTGGAGTTCAAGTGCAAAATTCTCCATCTTTAAGGTGGAGCGAGCCACCTGGGTCTTGCTGAGCAGACTGGCTTCTGTAGGCCGGTGGGCCTGGCACTGTGTACAGAGGCTCGGGCCCGGGGCTGGGAGCGGCACATTCTGAGAGCCCGGGCTCTGGAGGAACCTCCAGGAGGTGCCGTGCGCCCTCCCCAAGGCCCCGCAGTGGCCTGCTTTCCCCGACGACGGACCACTCATGCCTGCCTTCCTTTCCAGGGTGGAGAGCAGGCCTGGCTTCGCAGCGGTGGAGCTGCGGCTTCGCAATTACTACTACGACGTGGTGAACTAAGCCTGCCCATCACACCGCCCGCGAGCCGAGGAGGCACAGGCCAACGGACGCAGTCACTGACTCCGGTCTCCACCGCCCTCTTCCCGTCGGAGAGCCAGCCTCACAGGACATGCCTGACTGGTCCCCAAACCTGTCCCAGACACACCCCCACAGACAACCCCGGAGCGGGGGGATGGGTAGCCGAGCAGAGGGGCCCTGGCTTCCTCTGTGTGTGTCGTCTGTGTGGCTCTCGGCAGGCCACCTGCAGGGTCTGTGTCTGGAGGTCACTGGAGGTCCTCGCTGTCTTCCCAGTCCTTTGGCTCCCAGCCGCCGCCCAGAGACACCCCGTGTGGACTGAGCCCCCCGCGCTGCGTCTGAGCATGCCCGGGGCAGGGACACTGATGGGCGGTGAGGCAGGAAGAGGGAGGAGGGGTCAGCTGACACAGACCACCGGACTCGCCCTGGCCCCAGAGGCTTTCCCGATGGCAACGTGCTTTGAGGCTTTAACAGATCACTTCCCACCAGCGCAGGGTCTAAGGTGTAAAGTCAGGATGCTGCTTCAGCCCGTGCTCTCTGAGCCGGAGACTCACGTCTGGCGGGGGGGCCTGCGGAGGGAGCCTGGGGGAGGGTGACATGGCACTGACCCCGGACACCCTCTGCCGAGACTGCTCTGAAGACTGTCCTCACGCACAGACGTGACCTCCAGGGAAGGCTGCCGTCGCCTCCAGCAGGAGAACAGCCAGCGGCCGCCACTGTGTGGAGCCGTGCCCCTCGGCCTGGGAGAGGGAGCCGCCAGCGCTGCCTGTGTCCGGGCCGGGCCGGCCAGGCCGGTGAGGATGAGTTTCTAAAGGAGGGAATTCACAATAAAGCCGCAGACCTGCTCCTCGCCATACACAGGCTGTACTGGTGTGATTTGGGGCTGAGATACAAAACCCGAGGGTTATCCTCTAGTCCCTCAGTCCTAACTAACCCATAATGAGCGTCTGATTCTGCACAGACCAGTGCCTTTTGAAAGCTAGAGCGACTGAGCCATCATGTGGGGTCATCACACACTCATCGCCCTGTCCGGCCATGCTCACAGCCGCAGGGGCTGTTCTGCCGTGCGCAGCCGCCAGGCCTGCTCCTGGGAGCTCGCTGGGGAATGCCGCGGGCTCTGGCCTGGCAGGAGACAGTGGTCATGGGCTCCTGTTGAGAAACTTCTAGAAGCCACTCCTAGAATCGTGCTGCCTGGTGGTTTAGTGATTTTGTGAGCGAGGATCCCTGCGTGCTGAGCAGCCATACAGAGTACCTGGCAGTGAACGGTCAGGGGTGGAGCCTCTGCGGGCAGGCAAGAGGGAGGGCTGGGCGGCGGAGCGGCCTCTGGGGAAAGCACCCTGGTGTCTGCCGCCTGCTGCCTCCTCCTGGCCTGGCCGCGTCCCCCTGGCTCCGGCTCGCTCCTGTGCTTCCCGCCGGCCCTGTAGGTGGGAGCAAAGGGCATCCTGGACAGACAGCTCCCCAGGCCGGGCTAGGTCGTCACCACCTCGGCCCCAACCCCGGAGCCTGGTGAGTGGATGGAGGTCTTCATGCAGAAAGCCGGCTGAGCCTGGGGCTCCCGGCGTTCCCTGCGGGCGGCCCCGCCTGAGTCCTCCAATGGCGACTTCACCGCACCCAGCAGCCCGCCCGCAGGCCTCCCTTCCCTCCCCATCCCTCCCCATCCCGCCCACGGGTCCTGCGTGCCGGTCCAGGCAGAGGGCGCGGGGCTGTGTAAACTGTGATCCAATAAAGACAGCACTGGCGGTCTCCGTGGAGGTCCCTGGGCAGCAGGGTCACCTGCCCAGCACGTGTAAGCGGCGGTGCCCAGGTGGCGGGCTGCTCACGTGTGACGTGTCCCAGCGCGTCCTATAGCCGTGGGCGCAGGCCGCCGAGCCGGGCTGTGAGCCTGGCCTCCGCTGAAGGGAAAGGCGGGTCTCACAGGCCTGGCCCCACGACCTGCTCATGGCGCGGGATCTGCCCGGTGAGGGCCCGACAGCCACGTCCTCCCTCACGGGACACGGACACGCCACAGGGCCCTCCGCGCAGGCACACAGGCGGGTGTGGGACGCACCCAAGCTCCATCGCTGCCTCTTTCAGAGGAGCTGCCCCACGCACCCGCACCCACCGCCTCATACACGCACGGACCGTGCCCAGAGGGCGTCCCCCAGGACCGGCTGGTGACTGCAGGGCGGCACCTCCCCTGGGTCTGCACAGCCTCGGGTCCCCTGCGCCCACACCGTCTCGTGGCAGTGGCCTGGCTTGGGGACTGCAGGCCCGAAGCCGGCGCCCCGGGACGGCTCAGGGGAGGGGCTGGCCTTGGACTTGGGGTCTCCAACCCCAGGGAGGGGCAGAAGCCACTGCGGGAGGTGGCGGTTGGAAGCCGTGACAGGAGGTGCTCAGCACCATGAGCTCGGGCGAGGCGAGGACCCGAGCTTGTCCCTCCCGGGCCATGGCTGGGGGGGACCCGTAAACACGCCTCTTTCCGGGGAGGGGGCGGGAAGCCTGAGGCAAGGCTGCCTCCCTGAGTCTGCGACGTGGGGCTGCCTCTGGGCGCGGGGAGTTCCGCTCCCTTCTTGCCTGGCTGGTGGCCCAGAATGGAATTCCGTCCCCACTTCAGCTCCTCACACCCGGCCTAGTCCTCCTCCTCCACTGGGAAGCCCGAACCCTGCCAGGCGTCCTCCAAGGGGTGCAAGTGGGACCCAGGCGGCAGGCAGGTGCTCCGAGAGCCTCCCGGGGCCACCCGCTCCCCGATCGAGGCCCGGAGACTCACAGCCTCCCAGCTTGGCATCCTCCGACCCCCGACCACACAACACCATTTTACTCAACGCTTGTTAGCAAGGAGGCTGGTTCCTCAGACCCGGGGCCCCCACACGCACGGCCGTGAGGAGGGGACTCTGCAGAGGGGGACACTGGCGTCCTCCGTCCTGCCCCTGAAATCAGCCGGGAAGCAGGCAGCCAGCCTGGCCTCAGGACTGACAACCAGCAGCTCAGGGTCTCAGTGGTTGTTTGCACTTCCTGTCCTCGATTTCTCTCTTTCATACACACATGCACCTGCCCTCATACACATGCACACATGTACACACAAACACACATGCATTCATATATACACAAAAATATGCACTCATGCCGAAACCGGTTTGGCTCAGTGGATGGAGCATCGGCCTGTGGACTGAGGGGTCCCGGGTTCGGTTCCGGTCAGGGGCATGTGCATTGGTTGGGGGCACATCCCCGGTGGGAGGTGTGTGGGAGGCAGCTGGTCGATGTTTCTCTCTCATCAATGTTTCTAGCTCTCTATCCCTCTCCCTTCCTCTCTGTAAAAAATCAATAAAAATATATTTTAAAAAATATATGCACTCATACAAACATAACACGCACACACACACAAAACACCCATGCACACACAAACGCACATGCACTCACATACACATATACACAAATACATATCTACTCATATAAACAAAACACACATGCACACACAACCACTCACACAAACAAAACACACATGCATGCACAAATACACATGCACACATAAGCATGCATGTACATACACATGCCCTCATGCACATGCTCTCATATGCATGTGCATATGAGCACAAAGCACACATGCACACCTAAACAAACATGCACACACACATGCACTCACACACATACATACACACATGCACTCATACAAGCAAACACACAATCATAAACAAATACCCAAACACACACATGCATGCACACACATATGCACAAATGCACATAGGCATACACATACAGACACAGCGTGCACATACATTCACACTATCACATTTAATAACCAGGTCCTTTAAGGAAAAAGCGACAGCGCTGAGACCACCCAGGGCAGTGAGTTTCACTGCCAACAGCTCTTTGTACGGCACTCACTTCCGATGCGGCATCTGAAGGGAGGCGGAGCGTCTGAGAGCCCCCGTCCTGCGCCCTGGACCCCAGCACAGCCCGAGGGGCCCAGCGCCTCTCACACAGCCAGGCTCCTGGACGGGCCTCGCCGGCCAGGTGGTGCTCAGCCCGCCTGCCGCTCGGCCAGGGACATGTGCGGGGGGTGGGACACGTCGGGGGGACACGTTTGGGGAGTGAGGCATTATTGCACCAAAGCACAGCCTCACACTGCACCTTTCCCCTCCCAGGGCTTCCAGTGACTGCCTGTGGCTGTCATTAAACTACTAGAGACCGGCGCACCACATTCGTGCACCGGGGAGATGGGGCCCTTGGGGGATGTCCGACTGCCAGCTTATGCCCACTCCCCCATCCCGGGGGATCCTCGGACAGTCAGATATCCCCTGAGCAGTCAGTGCTATCCTGGAGGTGGGAGAGGCTCCACCACCGCTACCGTGCTCCAGGGGTGAGCCTGGCCTCGGGCTGAGCGGTGCTCCCCTGAGGGAAGCACTGACCACCAGGGGCAGCTCCTGCATTGAGCATCTGCCCCCTGGTGGTCAGTGCACGTCATAGTGACTGGTTGTTCCACTCTTTGGTCAATTTGCATATTACTCTTTTATTATATAGGATTCTATAGGATGGAGCATTGAGGGAAAATGTGTAGCAACCCTTCCTCATTCATGCACAGAGCCAGTGTCTGGGGCTGTTTCTCTCCACAGCACCCACAGGAGACACTGCACCCACAGACCACCAAGCTGTGACCACTCCTCCCTTCTCTGTTTGGGGCAGAGGAGCAGCCTGGCCTGAGGAGCCAGGCTAAGGAGCAGCGTGCAGAAAACATCATGTTGCCTTCCAGTCCTTTTCAGGCGGGCTGTGCCCGAAGGTGGGGTCCCCTGCAGGCAGCTCAGGATGTTGGTTCTCCACAACATGCGGCAGCATCTCCTCCCACAGACAGCACCTGCCACTGGCACTGACGTGCCCCCAGGTTCCCCCCAGATGCCTCCAGGATGCCCGCAGTCTGGCCCAGACCTCTGCCAGCATGAGGGAAACAGCTGCCAGCACCCGCCCCACCACCATCCGCTCTGACTTCTGTTGACACTCAACCCTGAAGAGAA